ACTTGTTCCATTCAATAAATTACAAAAATATGACTCGGAAATATTACTTTTGATGGAAAAACAACAATGATTTATTCACAAAATAGAACCATTTTGTAGAATTAGAAAATTTGAACAAACAAAGGAACAAATGTGTCCAATAATACACAAATATAAATATATTTAAATAAAATATAACATTTGAAAAAAAAAGTGTGTGTCACTCCTCCCAGTAGTTCACCTTGGTATGGTAGAGGGTGAAACACTCTCCTGTGTGCAAGGGGACATGACACGATGTGCACCACCTGTTTGTCTCCTTGCGAAGACCCCTGCGTGCACACACCCGACATTTTCTTGCTGGTCTCCTCTTACTGGTAGGCATTAGGTGTTCCAGCTTGTGCTTATTTATTTGCCCATCCAGCTGCTATCTGGGTCAAACTTATAAGGAGCCCTGGGGTTGTGTGTGCCCAAGCCTGGCCCCACAACAGCAGCAACTTCTCCTTCGACATCCTCCTGCAGCTCCTTTGAGGTCCACGTTCTTGCAACTCTCCGGAGAAACTGCAAGAGGTTTTTGCATTGTCCTCGGTTTCTGGCTCTGTAGAGGACATAGGCATTGAACACAGAGAGCTGCATTAGATAGGCCACAAACTTTTTGGACCAGTTTAGTGACCGTCTGATGAACGGGTAATAGGCCACGTTTTGGTCCAATTTATCCACCCCGTTCATGCATGTGTTGTATGCTACAACACATGCGGCTTCCATTGTGGCCCTTCTGTTTTGTTCCCTTCTGCCACACTTCCACCCTCTCCATGGTGTTTTCATGACAGGTTGTCACCATCTTTACCAACCTCTTGTCTTGCCACGCCACCACCATAACCTTCCCATTCTGCCGCACAATTCTTTCTCCAACTTCTCCAATTTTTGTCAGCTCTTTGATTATGTTTGGTTCACCCCGATTCTTCCTAAGTGTACCACATACATTTGTTTTTTTTTCAAGCAAACGCTCACAGAGTGACACAGAATTATAAAAATTGTCCATGAACAGAGTGTGTCCTTTGCCTTTGAGACGATCAAGGAGGGAGAAGACTGTGTCCTCTATTGTGTTGCTCGTTCCAACATAAGGCTGCATGTTGAAGCAGTACCCCGTGGCAGAGTCACAAAGAATGTATGATTTGATACCATACTTCACTGGCTTTTGTGGGTTATACACTCTAAAAGACAGTCGCCCCCGCCACTGCATCATCCCCTCATCAATGCATATGTTTTTGCCAGGGTTGTACAATGCCTTGAATTTTTTCACAAGGTAATCTAACACTGGGCGGACTTTATACATTTTATCACTTGCGTCTTGTGATCTATTGTCATTGTAATGAAGGAACCGCCAAATGATTTGATACCTGTTCCTTGACATTATCTTCCCAAAATAGGGTGTAGCGTCCTGCTCATCCACACACCAGTACATGGGAATGCTCGGCTTTTTCACGTAACCTGTGATAAAGCTGAGTCCGAGGAACTTTTTTAGTTCAGGTACAGACAGTGGTTTCCACACATTGCTTCGGCTGTGGGGCAAAGTGTCTTGGTGTGTCTCAAGATACTGTCTGGCATACAGGTTGGTCTGGTCTACTATATGTTGGAGCAGTTCCTCCGTCAAGAACAGCTCCAGGAAGTCAGCTGGTTCCGACGAATCCAACTCCGCAGCAGTCCCCTGGGGTCCAGACTCTTCTGTGAAGGGAAACAGATTTGGCTCCCACTCATCATCATGATGCCAGTCAGCATCTTGCCCACAGCCTCTGCTTGATCCACGGGCTGTAAATAAGAGAAATACATTTAATATGTTATACTGATAGAATAGCAGACTATATTATTTTATTTTATTGCCATGTGATGTGCTAAAGTTGAAATAGTCATTTCTTTACCTCTCTTTGCACAAGAACCTCTGCTTGGTGCACGACCTGTAAATAATAGGCAAATGTGTATCACTATACTAGGAGATTACATGTACAAAAACATTTACAGTGGAATGAGGAGGATTTATTTTTACCTATCCTCTTTGCTCTGCCAATAGGTGGGGGATCTCTGCTTGTATCAGGATCTGTGAATTGAGAAATCATTCATTTGAGCAAGAACTATGACACTATAACAATATGTATAAGTAAAAAATAACAAAAACACAAAATCATTTTGAAAACATGAAATAGTACATTATAAATGCCATGTACAAAAGCAGCAGTAGTGATTTGAAGATCAAAGACAAGTTCCGGGCCTCTCCTCTCCCCTCCCCTTTCTTAGCTGAGCAAGCTACATATGCTAGGCTAGGAAACGTAGCAAGTTCTTACCTTCAACTCTTGCTGGAGCTTCTGGGGATGAGGCTCTGCTTGATCCAGTCTCAGACGGCAACCACTCATCCGAAGAGTCTGGATCTGGTTCGCTGAACGAATCAGATTCGTCAGAAGAGACGGCCGTTGGCGTGCTCCGTGAAGCGCCGGGTCGCTCCCTGCTACCCACGGTCCGCGCTCTCGCGGTTCTATGGTGCGCTCGGGACGGACCCTCTCCAGGATCTGCACCATCTCCACTATCTCCCTCGCAACTGCACCTCACTGATCTCTGTGTCAAACTCTCCAGCAGTGTTAACTGTTTGTATTTGACCATCTTTTGCTTCGCTGTCTTCTCTGTCGCCATGCTGTCTCTCGCTACTCCACTCTACCACACCTCCTCTTCCTTCTGCTGCCTTTTGACCCCATCGGTGGGGCAATACTGCACTCTACAGGTGTCAACGGATCATTACACGTAATATATGAAGATATACAGGCTGATTTCTATATCAAAAGGTGCGCCAGAGGTCAATATAGTACCCTGAGTGAAAAAGTAAAAAAGACGTCTAAGACGTCTTTGGGAATAAGCGTTACTAAAAAAATAGAACGTCTTAGACGTCTTTGGCAACCAATGAGTTAAGGTTAGGGTTAAGGTGGTCTGAGTAAGATGGTTAAGGTTGGGGTTAAGGTGGTCTGATTAAGATGGTTAAGGTTAGGGTTAAGGTGGTCTGAGTAAGATGGTTAAGGTTAGGGTTAAGGTGGTCTGAGTAAGATGGTTAAGGTTGGGGTTAAGGTGGTCTGATTAAGATGGTTAAGGTTAGGGTTAAGGTGGGTCTGAGTAAGATGGTTAAGGTTAGGGTTAAGGTGGTCTGAGTAAGATGGTTAAGGTTAGGGTTAAGGTGGTCTGAGTAAGATGGTTAAGGTTAGGGTTAAGGTGGTCTGAGTAAGATGGTTAAGGTTAGTGTTAAGGTGGTCTGAGTAAGATGGTTAAGGTTAGGGTTAAGGTGGTCTGAGTAAGATGGTTAAGGTTAGGGTTAAGGTGGTCTGAGTAAGATGGTTAAGGTTAGGGTTAAGGTGGATCTGAGTAAGATGGTTAAGGTTAGGGTTAAGGTGGTCTGAGTAAGATGGTTAAGGTTAGGGTTAAGGTGGTCTGAGTAAGATGGTTAAGGTTAGGGTTAAGGTGGTCTGAGTAAGATGGTTAAGGTTAGGGTTAAGGTGGTCTGAGTAAGATGGTTAAGGTTAGGGTTAAGGTGGTCTGAGTAAGATGGTTAAGGTTAGGGTTAAGGTGGTCTGAGTAAGATGGTTAAGGTTAGGGTTAAGGTGGTCTGAGTAAGATGGTTAGGGTTAAGGTGGTCTGAGTAAGATGGTTAAGGTTAGGGTTAAGGTGGTCTGAGTAAGATGGTTAAGGTTAGGGTTAAGGTGGTCTGAGTAAGATGGTTAAGGTTAGGGTTAAGGTGGTCTGAGTAAGATGGTTAAGGTTAGGGTTAAGGTGGGTTGGAGTTATTTTATGGGAATGGCTGGTAAAGTTTAGGCATGAATAGATAGTTTATTATATTTACTTCCACTTCCGTCCAGATTCCGTGACGTAATCTACTGCTGCGTATGATCAATGGATCAAACTGAACTTCCGGACGAATCCGGTTTCCGGGACGAATCCGGGAGTGACAGTGTGGCTGGAGCTCTGGTGTGTGCCATCTTCTCTATCTTTTGCACACTGGGGTAGTCTTGCATAGTTTTCCCAATTTCTTGAATCCAGATTGATTGTCATAATATTGACACGTTATGGATCAAAGTGGTGGTTAATTGTTATGTGAAACCTCCATAATATGTCTCCACACATTCACGGAGAAAATGAAGCTTGTCAAAGTGCTCCCAATCTTTAAAAGATGGCAAAAAGCACTCATTATCTATCCTGGTCGTACCACACCATAGTACAAATTACATTTCATACTAAGGTCTGGATTTGCTCCACTGAGCTCCGTGAACAGGTGGGAGGGGTCAACTCCTTTTGCAGATTGAAACCATTGGATCTGAGTTTACCGTGACGTATGTAATGCGCCCGAGTCTGTTGTTAGCATTTAGCATTTAGCCTAGCTTTAGCCATCGCCTTTGCCGCTAACGGAGCCCGTGGGGAGTAGCGCCACAATTTATTACATTTGCTAAACATTCCTCTTGCTCCGGCTTCAATTTCTTGATAGAACCAGCCGGATTACTTTACTATCGCATTTTTGCCATTACCAAACTACGACCTGCCCGTTCGACGCAAACTCTTGACATCAATCACAACTAACTACAACACCCGCCTCCCATGCTCGGTGATTTGTCGGTGGAAATTCAACCGATTGTATTCGCTAACACAGGGACCAGACCCAGACGTTACATGCAGGACATGATGATTGAGCGCAGTGTACAGATGGATAAGGCCAGGCTACTCATTATCCAACTACAGGCAGATTTCACATGGATGAAAGTATAGGCAAACTCAGCCACTTTCTCTGACATGTTGGGTTAGAGTAGCCACGTCTGCTGCCCCTGTGCAGTCAGTCCCCATACAGAGTTTCAACACAAAAGAGAACCATGTAAAATTGTGTTCAACTCTTCACAATTAATTGATATCCCATTGAGGCGCCTCAGAGAAAATAATTGCCCTGTCAACATGTGGAACAGCAGGCAGGCTTTTTTCAAACCCACTCAAATGCAACATAAATATCACAAATTCAGATCTAGACCCTTTTTTTGATGCAGGCTGATAATATCTGAGTGGTATGTGTGTGTGCGCACCTGTACGATGGACCCACAGTGGCCTTTTGTGTTGTTGATGTGGAAGGAGATGAAGTCCTCTCCCTCGATGCCGGCACAGTGCTGGTCGTTGACCCTGACATCCTCGCGCTCAAAGCCCAGCTGGAAGAGCTTACACTTGGAGATGGATACCTCCATCTGAGCATGCTTACAGGTCACCTCGGCCTGGATGATGTCGTCTTCACCTGACACATAACCACACGTGTTTTATGACAATCTGTGTTTAGAACATCACGCACATATAGTGATAATTCCGGTTAAGTGGTCTTACTGCCAGTGGTGGTGACCAGCTCTGGACAGCCACACAGGTCTCCTCCGTTCTCCAGCTCACATGTAAAGTTTGTGCAGCTCTCTCCAGCACAAGGGTCATAGATCCATTCTGCTAAAGACACGCCCACAGCCAGGTTAGCTGTCCCCATGATACAAACTACCACTCTCTCTGAAGTTCAATTCAATCATTCATTCAATGAAAGCATTATTTACTGTGAGGTACAAAAGTGAAATTGGCTGTGTCAGATCCACATTATTCCCTAACTTCTCATTAATTATAAAATATGATCCTGCGTCCAATTGCCTATTTTTTTTATTATTCTTTCACTCCATTCACGGTGGTGATAAACCACCACTGTAGCCACAGCTGCCCTGGGGCACACTGATAGATTAAAACTAGGGCTGTCAAAATGATTGCGTTAACACACGTTAATTAAATATTTTCATTAATCGCGTGTACCGAATGACCCGCCTATGCATCCCAGAATAACACTCAGAATGCCGCAGACACGTGCCGTGTAAGATGACGACAGACCAGGTGGGCCCTCTGGGAATTCAAGTTAAAAAATAATATGTGCATGACCATGAGGCACTTGCTGCTGTTTGCTGTACGTACTAAACGGGTGTCCGCATTCTCCGTGGCCGCAGCGTTGCTGGGGCAGCTGCGGCCGCTCTGGACAATGATTCCCACCTCCAGCGGCTGTGAGCCGCTTCGACAACGACACGGCGAACGCCCGCCGTAACGTGATCCAAGACCTCACACGCGCACAGAACTATTCTCTGCTTACAAACAAATCAAACAGATTTAATGACATTGTGCATTTCAGACTGTTTTGAAATGTCCCTGATCTGTAACAAACAATAGTTTTGGTCTGGCTACTACAGAAAGACAGAATGTTAAAAATGTTAATGCCATTTTATGTTTTATGAGTGTTTATTGTTGTTATAATAAACAAATACAGTACATATGTACACTATGTTGTAATTTATCCTTCCATTCAAACATCAATTTACAGAAGAATATAGCATAATTTTGCATATAGTTCAAAATGCGACTAAATATGATTAATACATTAAAGTAGCAGTATGTAATATTTTCATGTCAAGTCATCGTTAAACGGCCCAATATTTCAAAAGACATTATTATTAAATCTTGCTCTTTTCGAAAACATCTTTAACTGAGAACAGTAGTTCAGAGATATTTGATTATCAAAATTAGTTTTACGACCCGTAAAAGTTGTTGTTGTTTTCATTTGGATGTCCTGCCCTCGGACGTTTGGCCAATCAGGAAGTCTCATGTAAGTCCGTGATCGGGTTGCCAGGACCCCGCGCGGCTCGCTAATCTCACTGGTAAAGTACCATGTGGCGCAGAACTAAAAAAGGTCTTGTTATGACTCTCAAATCATTAATAACAAAACAAAGACTAGAACCAGGATTTATATGTAATGTAATGTAATGTAATCTTTATTTATATACCGCCTTTTCACTGCACATCAGAGTCTCAAAGCAGTTTACAATTGTGATTTTTGGGAGTGGGAGGGGCCAGTACAGGAGGCGCATGCCAGACCTATTGTACATATTTTTAGTGGTAGGGGAAACCGGAGCACCCGGAGGAAACCTACGCAGACACAGGGAGAACATGCAAACTCCACTCAGAAAGGCCCTGGTCCAACCGGGTCTCGAACCCAGGACCTTCTTGCTGAGAGGCGAGAGTGCTATCCACTCAGCCACCGTGCCGCCTTTGAACAATTGATACAGCTGATAAAACGTTTCGTGAGATGCAACTTGCTGGTGTGAGTGCGTTCTTCATTGCAGTTATATTAGCTGCATCCACAGTACTTTCTGGTGTGTGTAATGGTGGTCCAGTGGTTAAGCCTTTGAGCTTTCATTCCAGCGACACAGATTTGAATATGGGCAGGGTCTGTTCATATTTATTTGCATAATAACACTTTCCATGACAGATTACTCTAAAAACGGTAAAAGACGAAGATCAAGGCGTCTTTTGCAGATTATAGCTTAATTGTAAAAAGAATCATTTGAGACCACATGTACCCAATTACAATAATGTCTCTTTTTGATGTGGGACTTATACATGTATAAAGAATATAGAATAAATGAAATTGAAGGTAATATCCTCTGGAGGAAACCCTGAAGAAATATGTTCCAACATCCATTCTTCCCACTCCTATTTTGGATAATTACAAATAATCTAATGTTATATAATCTATGTATAATTACATTTCTTTTATTTATTTTTTTTATCTCAAATGTGCAAATAAAAAATAAAAATTCATTCAACATTAGCACGGCTCATGGCAATGTGAGAGACAGACAAACCACTGATAAAATAATTCCCTGTGTTTGCTGCTGGATTTGGTGTGTATCTGGCAACCTGAGTCAGGGAGAGTGGGAGAGGACTACACAATATGGACTGTGACTGCAGTACCACTTTTGGCCAGATTTTTACATAATGCGCCTTTAAAGCTGTAATTAACTCCATTAAAAAATGCATTTGTTTGACAGCCCTAATTAAAACATCTACATTTTCTAGCATTCAGTTGTGTCCAGTTACAACAACTTTGCGACCTGCTTTTGATCGGTCATGTTATTCCAGTGAACTCATCTCTATCTCCTGAGTTAAAAGAACTCTGTGTTCATTCATTTGGGTCGTATCAAGTGAAAACAGCTCTTGTGTCTGCAGTAAAACCTATTTTGTGTATCCCCTAGCCCTCCACCCCCCACCAGACATTTGGACACACCTAAAAAATGTAAAGAAAAGGATGGATTGGAACTCGGCCATGGTGTCTCTTACAGCAGTTCTCCTGAGTGATCCAGCGCGTGGAAAGTGTTCCCAGGGCCCTGCAAGCCTCAGCATACGCAGCAAAGGAGCCACACATCTGGGCCCTGCGGTGGTTGTAGCAGCCATCCAGGTAACAGGATTGGTAGAAAGGTTGCGGGTCGAGCAGGCCATGGCACGGCTGGAAGAAGCCTTTGAGAGCGGTGAGTTTCTGGCAGGCGTTCTCACTCTGCAGGGCCAGGACAGCAGTATTGTCACATGACTGAGCCAGGGCCACGTACTGCATCTCGTCACAACTGCACACAGTATACGTACACATACAACGGTTTTAAAAAAAGGTTTCTCTGTTGCAGCTACTTGAAGAATATAGAACTATTATATTTTTGAGTTTAACCATTTTACAACAATGTTCATAAAAATAATGACATATTGTATATATTGTTTTCAGTTTTGCTTAGTTTTAACAAAAGATAAACCGAGCTGGTGAAAAATATGCACGTTTAATTTAATTACAAATTGCACATTTTCTCAATATTTAAGACAAAATCTGACCCCAAATTGATGCATGATACATTACAGGTCCTTCTAAAAAATATATTTTCTGTAATGTACTGATAAACAGTAGACTTTCATATATTGTAGATGCATTACACACAACTGAAGTAGTTCAAACCTTTTATTGTTTTAATATTGATGATTTAGGCAAAAAAAGTAAAGAAAAACCAAAAAATCCTTATCTAAAAAAAATTGCATATTTCATCCGACCAATAAAAGAAAAGTGTTTTTAATACAAAAAAATGTCAACCTTCAAATAATGATGTTCAGTTATGCACTCAATACTGGATCAGGAATCCTTTTGTAGAAATGAATGCTTCAATACGGCGTGGCATGGCATGGCCTGGCCTGTGGCACTGAGGTGTTATGGAGGCAATCAGCCTGTGGCACTGAGGTGTTATGGAGTCAATCAGCCTGTGGCACTGAGGTGTTATGGAGGCAATCAGCCTGTGGCACTGAGGTGTTATGGAGACAATCAGCCTGTGGCACTGCTGAGGTGTTATGGAGGCAATCAGCCTGTGGCACTGCTGAGGTGTTATGGAGACAATCAGCCTGTGGCACTGCTGAGGTGTTATGGAGGCAATCAGCCTGTGGCACTGCTGAGGTGTTATGTAGGCAATCAGCCTGTGGCACTGCTGAGGTGTTATGGAGGCAATCAGCCTGTGGCACTGAGGTGTTATGGAGACAATCAGTCTGTGGCACTGCTGAGGTGTTATGGAGACAATCAGCCTGTGGCACTGCTGAGGTGTTATGGAGACAATCAGCCTGTGGCACTGCTGAGGTGTTATGGAGGCAATCAGCCTGTGGCACTGCTGAGGTGTTATGGAGGCAATCAGTCTGTGGCACTGCTGAGGTGTTATGGAGACAATCAGTCTGTGGCACTGCTGAGGTGTTATGGAGACAATCAGCCTGTGGCACTGCTGAGGTGTTATGAGGCAATCAGCCTGTGGCACTGCTGAGGTGTTATGGAGGCAATCAGCCTGTGGCACTGAGGTGTTATGGAGCCAATCAGCCTGTGGCACTGAGGTGTTATGGAGACAATCAGCCTGTGGCACTGAGGTGTTATGGAGTCAATCAGCCTGTGGCCCTGCTGAGGTGTTATGGAGACAATCAGCCTGTGGCACTGAGGTGTTATGGAGACAATCAGCCTGTGGCACTGCTGAGGTGTTATGGAGGTAATTAGCCTGTGGCACTGCTGAGGTGTTATGGAGGCAATCAGCCTGTGGCACTGAGGTGTTATGGAGACAATCAGCCTGTGGCACTGCTGAGGTGTTATGGAGGCAATCAGCCTGTGGCACTGAGGTGTTATGGAGACAATCAGCCTGTGGCACTGCTGAGGTGTTATGGAGGCAATCAGCCTGTGGCACTGCTGAGGTGTTATGGAGGCAATCAGCCTGTGGCACTGCTGAGGTGTTATGGAGGCAATCAGTCTGTGGCACTGCTGAGGTGTTATGGAGACAATCAGCCTGTGGCACTGCTGAGGTGTTATGGAGGCAATCAGCCTGTGGCACTGAGGTGTTATGGAGACAATCAGCCTGTGGCACTGAGGTGTTATGGAGACAATCAGCCTGTGGCACTGAGGTGTTATGGAGACAATCAGCCTGTGGCACTGAGGTGTTATGGAGACAATCAGCCTGTGGATGTTTCTGCTCCAGACTCAGTCCACTGCTTCCAAGTCCAAGGTCTGGAATTGGCCCTTCTCCACCATCCTCCTCAGGGTCCAGTCACCTCTTGGTGTTGTGCAGCGTTTTCTGCCTTTTCCTTCCCACAGACTTCCCACTGAGGTGCCTTGATACAGCGCTCTGGGAACAGCGGCTCAGAAATGTCGTTCTGTGTCTTACCCTCTTGCTTGAGGGTGTCAGTGATTGCCTTCTGGACACAGTCAGGTCGTCTTACCCATGATGCAGTTTTGGGAAATGAACCAGGCCGGGAGTTTTTAAAAGTCTCAGGAATCTTCTGCAAGTGTTTAGAGTTTATGTGTTGGTTCAGATGATTAGGTTAATGGCTCGTTTAGACCTTTTCATGATATGCTAATTTTCTGAGATAGGAATTTTTGGTTTTGCTTTACTTTGTCTGCCAAATTCATCAATATTAAAACAATAAAGGCATGAACTACTTCAGTTGTGTGTAATTAATCTAAAATATATGAAAGTCTAATGTTTTGAGAAGGACCTGTATTTAATGTTGCCACTGATCCTCCTGCAGGTGGTGAGTCCACAGGAGGATGGCTGCTCTGTCAGTGACGACACAGCCTTGATTTTTCAGCGGGGCTTCAGCTGTAAAAAGACCATGATGACACTGCAATTGAGGTGTAGGAGAGCAAAACCTGAGGGCTATGGGAAAGACATATTTGTAAATAAAGGAATAACTGCATGTGAACGATGCGGTCAGAGGAAGGCAGGGTTAGGCGCTCCCCGGCCTCGACGCTAAGAATACATGGACAAAACAAAAGTTAGAAATAAAATAGAAACACGTAATACTTGGTCAAATCAAGTGCGATTTGGTGCAATGTTTAATTAGTTTCTAATGTAACTTACTCCTTATTTCATCTTTCTATCTATTGTTACGCTTGAAATTGCTGAGATTTGATAGAGCGGAGTCGGCGTGTGAGGCGAGTGCCTCGCTCTGTGAGGAGACACATAGAAAATCCTTTTAGCAAAATATTCACTGATGAGAGGGCCTTCGGGTGCTTGCTCGTTGAACAGTTTTATCGCGGTTTACAAAGTTCAAACATATTTCCTTGTACAATCTACATGTCTATACAGTTGAGAGGGATGGGTTCATAAATTGTGTTTTTTTGACAACCAATATGGGTCTTAATCGAGCTCAACCACAGTTTGTAATGTCACCAAATGAGGCCAGCCCTGCAGGGGGGGTACTTGTGAGCCCAGAATTTGACTGCATCGAATTTCCATCAGAAAGTGACGTCGCCCGGTCCATGGCGCAGCCGGGGCCCCACCCTGGTGAGCCAGGCCAGGGGTCGGGCCTCCCCCCGCCGACAGCGAGCGCCTGGTGGCCCGGGCCTTAGCCCACGGGGCCCTGCCAGGGCTCAGCCCGAACGGACGACGTGGGCAGTCCCCTCCTGTGGGCCCACCACCCGCAGAGGGGTCCGTGGCGGCTCGGTGCAGAGAGGACTGGGCAGCAGTCGAAGGCGGAGACTTCGGCGACCCAGTCCACACACACAACATCTGGCTCTTGGGACGTGGAACGTCACCTCACTTGTGGGGGAGGTCGAGAGGTACCGACTAGAGATAGTCGGCCTCACCTCCACACACAGCTTGGGCTCTGGAACCCAACTCCTTGAGAGGGGTTGGACGCTCCACTTTTCTGGTGTTTCTCGCGGGGAGAGGCGGCGAGCTGGGGTGGCCATACTCATTGCCCCCCATCTCAGCCGCCACGTGTTGGAGTTCTCCCCGGTGAATGAGAGGGTCGCGTCCCTCCGCCTCCGGGTGGGGGACAAGTCTCTCACTGTTGTGACGGCCTACGGGCCTAACAGCAGTGCAGAGTACCCGGCCTTCTTGGAGTCCTTGGGAGGGGTACTGGACGGTGCACCGCCCGGGGACTCCGTCATTCTCCTGGGGGACTTTAACGCCCATGTGGGAGTTGCCAGTGACACTTGGAGAGGGGTGAAGGGGAAGAACGGCCCCCCTGATCTGAACCCGAGTGGTGTTCAGTTGCTGGACTTCTGTGCCAGTCACAGTTTGTCCATCACAAACACCATGTTTGAGCACAAGGGTGTCCACCAGTGCACGTGGCACCAGGACACCCTAGGCCGGAGGTCGATGATCGACTTTGTTGTCGTATCATCTGACCTTCGACCGCGTGTTTCGGACACTCGGGTAAAGAGAGGGGCGGAGCTAAAGAGAGGGGCGGAGCTGTCAACCGATCACCACCTGGTCGTGAGTTGGATCCGCTGGCAGGGGAGGAAGCCGGTCAGACCTGGCAGACCCAAGTGTATAGTGAGGGTCTGCTGGGAACGTCTCGCTGAGATCCCTGTCAGACGGACTTTCAACTCACACCTCCGGGAGAGCTTCTCCCAGGTCCCGGCGGAGGAGGGGAGTATTGAGTCTGAGTGGACCATGCGGCGGCTCGTAGCTGTGGTCGCAAGGTCTCTGGTGCTGGTCCCGGCGGCAACCCCCGAACCCGGTGGTGGACACCGGCAGTAAGGGATGCCGTCAGGCTGAAGAAGGAGTCCTATCGAGCCATGATGGTTCGTGGGACTCCTGAGGCAGCTGTCCAGTACCGGCAGGCCAAGCGTGCCGCGGCCCGGGCTGTTGCAGAGGCAAAAACCCGGGACTGGGAGGAGTTCGGAGAGTCCATGGAGCATGACTATCGGTCGACCTCGAAGAGATTCTGGCAAACTGTCCGGCACCTCAGGAGGGGGAAGCAGTTCTTTGCCAACACCGTGTACGGTGCGGGGGGTGAGCTGCTGACCTCGACTGGGGATATTGTCGGGCGGTGGAAGGAATACTTCGAGGTTCTCCTCAATCCCCCCGTCACGTCCTCCGCTCCGGAGGCAGAGGCTGAGGATGTTGGGGCGAATACTTCTGTCACCCTGGCAGAGGTCACCAAGGTGGTTGGCAGCCTCCTTGGTGGCAAGGCGCTGGGAGTGGATGAGATCCGTCCTGACTATCTAAAGTCTCTGTCTCTGACACGTCTCTGCAACATCGCATGACGATCGGGGGCGGTGCCAATGGAGTGGCCGACCGGGGGTGGTGGTCCCTCTCAGAC